GATCGCACTGCATCGTAACAGGGGTGAATCGCATCGGTAGCTGCTTCATATGTATCTGTAATGTATGGCTATGCACCGAGATGTGTATCACATCGGCCTCAGTTATGGAGACGCACATCACTACTGCATACACGCCTATTGTTTGGAAATTATTCTAATGTCCAGTTTTATTGTTGTGATTAGAAGTCTATTTAAATTTAAATCTGCTAAATGCATAAATCTATTTAAAGCTTACAAAAGAGTTTCTTACAACATTCTACTAACTTATTTTCACCCAATATAACGTTATTTGAACGTTTATTTTCAGTGTTGGGTAACGCGAGTTACGTAATCGGATTACTTTTTTCAACGCAAACCTGCAATTAAATGTTAAACACAAATATCCTTTATGTATTTAATCCCATTTTATTAACCAATGTCTTTGCTTCTGACCTTTGATGATCCAGTTCAACCGTACTAATAAGCACAAATTACTCTAGACAAACATGTGTCTTTTTTTTATTGCTGAAGTGTGAGATGTCTTCTTCTGCATTCTACTGTACGGACGTAAATTTACTTTCCCTTCAGCCTGAGGCTTATTCATTTCACTTTTGGTGTGAAAAGGCTTTTATATTTGCCAAAAATAGAACTTTTTTATTTTAAAAACAAACAAGCATTTATATTCTGAAAAACAATTGTCTTATGTAGTGTGAATAATCAACTTGGGAAAGTATGGTGATTATCTATCAGTTAAAATGTTTACTTTATTTACCTGCAGTGTCTTGCCTTAAAAATAGAGTTGCTAATCTGTTAACTTGGCGGATTGATTCTGTGTAGGGCACATGTTTCTCTGGTGTTGTGCTTGAGTGAATTCATGCGTATGTGCTTGTATGTGGATGGACTGTGTGTTCCTGGAGAACTTCATGCGAGTTGCTTGAGGCTCTGGCTTTATCATAATGAATATTCTTTTGTTTCTATTTTTCAGAGATGCGGAGTAAGCAGAAGTCGAAGCATGCGCTCCCTATAATGAACCATGAGGACCTTTGAGTGACTTCTCTGTTTGACTGTCTCGGAAATGTGTAGAAATGGAAACTTACCATTGTGCTTTTAGTCTTTTTTCCCCTTTGTTTTCTGCCTGTGAATAACTTCTTAAAGCAAAACGCCAAAGAACATAAGATTATATATATATATATATATATTTACACTTAGGTACAGCTAGATACAACTATGGCCCATAGACTATGACATGTCTATTAAAACAGTAATGATGTATTTAATCAAACACTGAGCTCGATTTAATGATACATTTACATTAAGTTCATTTAGTTTACGATTTGGAAACTCTTTTGTAAAGAAAGGGAGGGATAATGGTGAACCAGTGATTCTGTTTTCTTAAATTGGATTTTTTTTAATTTTTTATATGACATGAAATAATCTTGTGCCTTTGTTGAGCATCATGTGTTCTTTAGTCAGCCAATCAGCATTCAGTCTCATAGGCTGCCTGTCCTGCTCTTCTGAAATACCATCGCGCCCCCTTGTGGACACACACAGCTATGACCATCACAGGCTAATGGGAAAGTGCTTGCTTGCACTGTAGAGTCAGACATGTTTATGATGAAATTTAGAAACCATGTGGATTTTGTTGTTGTTTTTGGATGCCATGTAAAAAAAAAAAAAAGGTGAATCTCATCAAACATTTTATGAGTGACATTTCATGCCAGAATCGGAAGAGAATGTAAAATTATAATTTGCATAAAGAAAAATAAAGCCTATTTTTAGAACCCTTATGATTTTTTTCTTGCATTCTGAAAAAGTAATATTTTACTGTAATAACTATTGTGGTAAACGTAATTATTGGTGATACAACAAATGCTACCATGTGTAAATGCTACCATGTGTGAATGCATGCTTTTTTTCTGCATTATTTTAAAGAGAATATCATTTTGATTTTGCAGTGAAATGTGACTGATAGGGTTTCGTGAGATTCACCCTAATGGCTTTTGTAATATCAATAAAGAGCCAAATTTGATGAATGTCTCTTGTGGCATTATTTCCTATGATACACAGTACTTAACACAAAGAAACAGCGAACAGAAATATAATTTTCAACGGAATTTCCTTCAATTAAAGGCATAGTTCACCCAAAAATGAACATTTTGTCATCGTTTACTCAACCTCATATTGTTCAAAAACCCGTATGAGTGTCTTTCGTCTGTTGAACACAAAAGAAGATATTTTGAAGAATGTTGGTAACTAAACTGTTGCTGGTAGCCATCGACTTCCATATAATTTTTTATTTCATACTGTAACAACGCACCGTTGTTCTATTGAACGTGGGGCTGACCAGAGCTAAGCTAGGCTATTAAACTTTTGCTAAGTTAATTGCTAACAGGTTGCTAGCATCTATACGCGAGACTTCTACTATGGTTAGTGGAAAGTGCGAACACTCGCGTCCCATACACCGCACGACCATGAGTGTCTTGGTGAGCAGAAGCATGCTGGTCCTCTGCTGGTTTATACTGGTCCTTTGGTGGTTTATGCTGGTCCTTTGCTGGTCCTTTGCTGGTTTATGCTGGTCCTTTTGCTGGTTTATGCTGGTCATGTGCAGGCAAAGGACCAGCATAGACCAGCATCCCAGCGTCAAAACATACCTAACCAGCATATGCTGGTTTTTTCAACAGGGAAATGCTTCATAATCTAATTCCAATGCAGATTGCATATTCAACATATTTTACTGTTGCATTTTCTCTGTAGATTGTTATAACTCTTCTTGTTTGTTTCTGTTTACTTGAAGAACAAATATATTAAAATAGTATTTGTATTTCCTGTAACATTTCTCTCAGTTTTTAAAACTGATATGTTGTCTTGTACTCATAAAACACGTAATACCACAAACATAACCAAACTTTTTTCACAAATCGAACCGCGTAGAGAGAGAGAGAGAGAGAGAGACTCACTTTCTTCGAAACGTGCATAGGTTAGATGTGAAATATTTGGAACATTTCGGGTGGCGATTAAAGGGTTAGTTCACCCAAAAATGAAAATTCTGTCATTAATTACTCACCCTCATGTCGTTCTAAACCCGTAAGACCTTCGTTCATCTTCGGAACACGATTTAAAATCACTTTGGACGCGCGTTCACGACAGTACCATGACGCGAGCGTGTGTGCTGTCTATGGGAGGGTCAGAGAGCTCATCAAAAATATTTTAAATCGTGTTCCGAAGATGAACGAAGGTCTTACGGGTTTCGAACAACACGAGGGTGAGTAATTAATGACAGAATTTTCATTTTTGGGTGAACTAACCCTTTAATGTCAGCCCTTTGTTGTGAAATTGCTCAAAAACCATGTGTTAAACTATGTGAGAGAAGGCGTGGGGGAAAATTGGAGGCTAAATGCAACCAATGTATTTTTAATCTGTTTATTTGTTTGTTAAAAAGAAGAGAAATCAGCATCTGGTCAAGAAAATGTTTACATTCAAACGAGGCAGTGAGAACCAAAAACCTTCAACTTTACAAGTTAGTGGTTCCAGAATGTTATACACACACACAAAAAATAAATCCAAGACGCATATTTCAACAAAGAAATGGAAAGTGTGTTTTTAAAGTGATACATTGTTTCACACACGTGCGCATCAAACAGCGGCGAACAAGCATGTGTGAGATACATGTCATATTTAAATGGCAACATTATTTTCCCGACAGAATATAAATAGAGCGTGACGAAAAATCGGAACACGCCCCACTTCTCGCGACACTATGTACCGCGCAAACAGTTATCGGGCGATTTAAACCTTTGTTGCGGGAACGCGACTCATTGTTACCATCACCTCAACACCGACTCATCGTACCGCCGCTACCTGTAAATTACCAGCGCTAAAATGGCTAACAATCTTAACGGTATGTATCATTTGTTCATGCATATGTTAGACAAATGTAGCCTACATCGGTCTGCAAAAAGAGATAAACGAGGGCTTTTCTGTTTGCAGTCGACGAGGCTCGAAACGGCGAAGATAACACAACGCCTGGTAAGTTATGCACACATTTTTTCTCATGGCTTTTATGAAAAGTAGGCAGAGCTCTCTTACTGTACGCGTTTTTTAATTAATTTATTTGTAACTTTTTTCACGTGCTCTTAAGTTGAAAAATGTAGGCGCACACTAAAATATATATATAAATGCTAAAAAAGATAAATGATAAAAAAATATTTCAAAAACTCTTTAAACATTTCTGCTTCAAACTGTAGTCCTGTTTATTGTGTTTGTTTTATATACATGCACACAGTTTAACAGATTATTGTGCTGATACTAACTATAGACATGTGTGACCCTGGAGCACAAAACCAGTCACAAGGGTCAGTTTTTTGATATTGAGATTTATGCATCATCTGAAAGCTGAATAAATAAGCTTTCCATTGATGTATGGTTTTGTTATGATAGGACAATATTTGGCTGAGATACAACTATTTGAAAATCTGGAATCTGAGGGTGCAAAAAAATCTAAATATTGAGAAAATCGCCTTTAAAGTTGTCCAAATGAAGTTCTTAGCAATGCATATTACTAATCAAAAATTAAGTTTTGATATATTTACGGTAGGAAATTTATAAAATTTCTTCATGGAACATGATCTTTACTTAATATCCTAATGATTTTTGGCATAAAAGAAAAATCTATAATTTTGACCCATACAATGTATTTTTGGCTATTGCTACAAATATACCCCAGCGACTTCAGACTGCTTTTGTGCTCCAGGGTCACATATACTTAGTATATCTATATCATCTGTATATTTAGAGAATAATGTGTTAATTAATGTTGTTAGACTTTCCATCCTGTGAAGCCACAAAAGTTAACGTTGAATTAAATGCCATATTTATGCAAATTGCAGGACTCTTATTTTAAAATGTCTATGCTTTACTCTTTCTGGCTGGTCACTGAAACAGATAAAATATGCACTTTAACAACCATCTACAACATATTCAGTGATTGCGAACTGCTCTGAAACTGCAAGCCTGTAAATGTGCAACAGCACTGTGTTTTGACTTGTGCAGCACTCATATTTTTTTAATGAAATCAATGCCGTTTGAAGTTTAATAATAACATAGTAATAATAGCATTTGATAGTTATAGGGGCCCAAAGCGATATCCGACGGACCAGCCCCCACTTTCAACTGATCTACCCAAATGTTACATATTACAATGATCTTGTGAAACAGTGGTTATGTGGAAAGGATACACGTAAACTGAAATGAAATCTTGAGATCTGGGTCAATGACTAGCTGTGTGGACTTCTGTACAAAGAGTTGTGAAAATGTACATTTTCCTTGTGAAAAAAGTGCCAAAGTGAATAAAAATGGTAAGAGTCTTCAATGTTTCAGGCCTAAAACCATGTGGCTCTACAACAGGGTTCCTCAAATCTTGCCCTGGAGGGCCAATGCGCTGCAGAGTTTAGCTCCAACCCTGATCAAACTCACCTACCTGTGGTTTTCTAATGATCCTGAAGACATTGATTAGCATGCTCGGGTGTGTTTGATTAGGAAGTCTGCAGGAAAGTGGATCTCGTGGGCCAGATTTGAGGATCCCTGCTCTAAAACATGGCTGAGCAATAGTCAAACGGGGGTTCCCTCCGACACCAGACACGCACAGCACTGTTTTACGACACACAGGACACAGGAGATTTCATGCTGTGCTAGAAAACGAGATGGGGGTGTCTGATTGAGGGCTCTTTGAACTCTACGACCCTTCATTCTTGGTGATTTTACGCCCCATTCATGGTGGAATTTGGTTCGCCTTGGTGGGGTGACTTTTAAAACAAACATCTGTGAAAAAAGTCAAATGATAAGCCATTTTATTTCATATTAAATGGTTTAGTTTATTAAAAACAGCTCTGTTTATGTTGTTTTACCAGGGTGTGTAGAAGAATGCATGCATCTGTGTGCAAATACATGCAGTTTAGTATGGAAAAAAAGTTGATTCATAAGAATATGGTAATGACTGGCTGAACTTAAAACTTCAGAAAGTTACAAAAAATTGCAGGTTCAGGTTGCATTTTGAATAATGTTTTATGATTTTCTGAATAATGTTTTATGATTTATTAAGAACAGTTCATCAGATAGTACCACATGAGGCTCATTTTAGCTTTCATGAATAATTTTGTGGTAACGAGAAAGGCTTAAAAGAATTATCTTCTCTTTAAGATGAGTTACAAGACAGAACTATAGTAGCCTTGCATGTAAAATGTACTGATCGCTGTCGAAATGAAAAACACATTTTTTTTAAAAGGGGTCATATGATGTGGAGAAACAATAATGTACAGTATGTGGAAAATAATGTGTTTTTTGAACCTTAAACCGCATAAACACATTTCATTACACCAAATACACCAAATAATGTTATTTTTAGCAACATCACATGACCCCTTTAAATAGTTACACCAGAATGTTTAATTTAGAACAGTTTTAATTCAGACTTTTGGTGAGACGCCCTATCTGTGTATGCTCCTGCACATTCATCAATTCTTGCAACACATGCCTTGAAGCACCCAAATCGTTGGCGGATTTAAAGGATATGTTTGCCAATTTTCAACCAGCTTTGTATTGTTAGTGTTTGCAGTATGTGTACAGGAACAATGTGTGCTCTTTCTCCAGGTTTCTTCCACCCAGGTTATCAGCAAAATGATCTGCTAGCTGACGTAAAACACATCACACAATCATTTTGCATCATGCTGCTGACTTTAACAGCTCCAGGGCTTTTGTTGAAACTACAGAACATTTTTGTTTTCCTGCTTTCGGTCAGTCAGATCGACAGAGGGGCGGCACCAAAATCAAAGTGACGTTTTTGGCAAAAGAGAACACCACAGCCCATTTTCTCTGTTTTCCCTTGTCGTATATCACTGATTTCAACCTTCTTCTTTTTTTTTGCATTTCTACTGCATAGACAGCCAAATTTAATTATAAGCCTGTAACAAATTAGCTCTTGTTATAATTAATTATAAATATTTTGTTTCAGCTAATGGAATTAGTATTACAATCAACAAACCTATTCGCCCAGCAAACACTCAGTGTTAATTGTTTATTAATTCTAATATAAGTTTATTTCTGGGGTATGGGAAATAACATCCTTATTGTGCAATACTACTCAGAGCATGTAGCCAAAATCTGCATGATTTGGGACTCCAGTTATGAGCAAAACAACATACAACCTTGAGTGGGATACAAACGAGACTTTATTAACTACACTAAACACTTAAAGGTGGGGTAAGCGATTTCTGGTAGCCAATGTTGACATTTGAAATCACCAAAACAAACACGTCCCTACCCCCAAAAGGGTCTCGCCCCTATTTTGATAGCTCCGCCCCACACATACGTACACAACCCAGGCAACGATTAGTTCTGTGAAACAAAGCAAAACCAATGTTAGGGGCCATTCACATGTCGCGTGGAAAACGCTAGGCGCGCCGCTTTCTGCTTTTTCCCAAAGCGTTCGGGCGCTTGCGCTCCGGAGGCGTCTGCCGTTGCTAAGCAACCATGACCTGCGCTCTCCATGA